TACAAATTACAAATCGTAAATTTAATTTCAAGTATGGAAAAACCCAAATACTCAAATACAATTTACAATTATAATAGAAAAATTAAATAAAGATATTAAAAAAAAAATCCTGGTATGGGACTCGAACCTTGCATCTCTCCACTGCCACTCCATTGCGACTGTTTGTGCACCGCGAGCAAAATCACATACTTATTCCTTTCACGGCAAGTTAATTTTTCCTAAGAAGAAATAAAATAGTACTGAAAACTAAGATATTGTGTTTTCCTTAAACTGAGTCAAATCGTTTACTTATATTAAGGCAGCCATATGTTTGGGTCCATTGAAAAAAATCATGACGTCAGAACTCGGTTTTACTATATTTTGTCTATACTTTCGTGAATAAATATGCATATTGATTGCTTCGTGTGTTTCGACATTTTTTTGGTTTTTATCGCACGATATAAACAAAATTACGAACATTTTGTAAATATTAAATTTTGCACTTCACCCCTGGTTAGGGGTTTTTGCACAAACTGCGTGGCGTGTATGGAAAGGAAGAATTCATTATGGAATTACATCACCCTGACGGCGGAAAAAATAGGTAAACAAATAAGCTTGGTTTCTCCAACTGGACTTAACTTTTAACAAATTTTAACAAATAAGCTGAATAAAAAGTAGGCTAACTTTTGACTTAAGTCCAAAAAATGGCTAAACTAAGTTAAGTTGAGTTGAAAGAAGTAATTTAAAAACAATTTTTTTTAACGACAAGCTTCTATTAGAGGTTAATACAAAAATCGACCCCCTCACCGCCTAACGGCTAAACTTTTGTGGAGGTATTTCTTTCCATTTAAGTAATACACGTACTAAATATCCGTCAATAAATACGGGGTTTTCATACATTTCGTCACCTACACCTAGCGGATTAATTCATCTTGCACATTGCCTTGTCATCGGTTTCTGCGCTAAGATTGAAGTTTCAAGTTTCTAGCTAATCGGGAAGTGGGTCGAAAATTGCGGCTAGCAAAAGCAACGGACTACGTCCACACTTCGGCCACGTACTTACCAAGGTTTCGCAAAATGACTTCGAGTTATGGTAGGTCATTAAGACATTTGTTATGGTGCGAGTAACATCGCAGTAAAATTGTAAACTTTTTTTAATAAAGAAATGTGTTTTTCATTAATTTATACTAATCGTGTGATCCGGGCTTAATTCCTAATTTTGTCGCAAATAGTCGACTTGCGATCCTTTTATTTCGGGTTTACAAGACTTAAGGCCGAATTCACTGTGCTTAGTTAAACCATTGTTAACTTATCCACCAACAAGAGTTTAACTATGAATTTATATTTACAGTCACATAATAAGCTATGGGAATTCATGTCGTCTGGAAATATACAAATTGGTTCCACAAACAAATTTTAATTTCACATGAGTTTAACTATCAGGGCATGCAGGTTTAAACTCTTTTTAATTGAGCACTGTGAATATCAAAATCGATAGTTAAACTCTTGTCAGTAGTTAACTGCGCACTGTGGATTTGGCCCTTAAAGGCTTAGGGTGTCTAAATTAATTTTTATCAATGCATTTTTTAATTTATATTTTTTCTTCATATTCTTAATTCTTAGCTGCTGATTTTATTTTAGAGTTCGATTTTTTCGACTTTAAGCTTCATATTTTTTACAATTTTTTTGGACTCCACGGAATTTCATGTCTCACGATTTTTAAAGACGAGTTTACATACATCATTCCAGATTATAGATACATATTCAGTTTTTTGTTTGTTTTTTTGTTTCAAGAAAAAGAGCAAAACTTGTGTGTTATGACCTTACCCAACGGAAAACTCTTTGCCCTCAAAATAAAATTGAATTCTGCCGGTTAATATAAAATTTTACTCCTGGCCAAAACTGAAATGCGCATATGTAAACTCGCTCAAATGATTTTCTTCTCTTCACAACATTTCTGATACTCTGAATTTCTTTTTAGCATTTTCCTTTGTGAAATATCTTTTTAAATTGTTTGTTTTTTAAGCATTTTTATTTTATACATATTTGTATTCATAAATACCTTACTTTTGGCATATGTATGTATGCACTTCAGATTTATGAGCACCATTAATCATACTGATTTCCTTCTGCAGCATCATTCTCATCCCACTGTGGCAGTTAATATACAATATGTATTTATATAAAACTAAATGGTTGTTGTTCCTTAAACATTTGTTTAAACATATAAAGTACATATACACATGTGTATGAATGTACGGGTATATACAAATGCGCCCATACGTGTACATACTTAATTATGTGCATGGTATTTTTCACTCTCAGAGGCGGCTGAGTTATCACAGCAGTTAATTACAAAATGTATTGATTAAAAACTGAGCTTTTATCAGTTAATATTTATATACATTCAATGAATAAATAAATTAAATTGATTGCCCGAGGTCAATAAATTAATTTTAAATTTAGTGTTAAATAAACTTTGCTTTAGACAAATCAACTGATCTTTCATAAGCAAATATTTAAAACCCTGAACAAAATTAAGATTTTTTATTATATTTAATTTATTATTCATGCGAATATTGGTTAAAATAATGCAAAGCATATTCAAAATAAAGTATCAAAAAATTTTTTAAACTAAATAAAAATAGAAAAATCCATTAAAACTGAATGCAAGTAAAGTTATAATAGAAGCTTAAGTAGATTAAAAATTAATAGTAAAGTTTACATTAAAAAATTCATAGCGTCAAAACTCTCAAAAATAAAAAATTAAATAAATTAATAAATAACGAAATAAAGCCAACAATAAAATCATGACAAAGATTGGAAATAAAATAAAAAGAGTAATTAGAGACTATACAAAAAATTACGTAAAATATTTAAAATGCTGTGCAATAGAACAAAGTAAAATAAATTCACGCAAAATAAGAACGAAATCTTTGAGCTAAAACTAGAGCACTTTTACAGTAAAATCCAGATTGAAACATGAAACTTAAAAAAAAGTGAAATAAATTAATTTTTTTGTTGCGAGATATACCGTGCAATAACAACTAAAAAATTTTAAAACACACGAAACTATGGCCTAAAATATACTAAAACTTCGTTTTAAGTTTTGCTCTCTGAAATCTGGATTTCTTTTAAAAAGGACTTCAGAATTTTAAAGATATGATAAATTCAAAAAATATTTAAAACATTCCGTGCATTGTGGAATAAAAATAAAGTTTTATGGTTAATGAGGACGAATGGGTACTGAAAATGCTCTTTTAATTAATTTTATTTTTTTTTAGTTAAAAAAGTTAGCATATAATTTTTTCAAAAATAACTATTTAAAATTTTCAAGGATATTCTAGAATACAATTTTAGAAGAATTTTTTCAATACTTATTAGTCTTTATGCACAAAAAGAGGTATTCTTCACCTCATTTTCTCTTTTGTTTGATACTCATATTGGTAGTCTGCATACAATGCACTGACTTTTTAAATCATTTTTTGCAATAAGCATAATATGACTATTTAAACGCTATGATCCGCCATTTTGTTTGGGATGCCATTTTGGTTACGATGTTTTTTTTTCTAAAAAGCATTGTGTTCTGTGTGGGTTGAATTTTTCTGTTTATAAATTTATTGTTACGCTTCAACTGAAAAAAAATCGTTTGTGGTGATTTGCAAACTTTGTCCTTCTTGTCTGGAAAATGAAGACACTACTGGTATATACCTTATCAGCAGTTGCACGACATTCTGCAGGCTCAAATAAGAGATGGATAAATATGTAGTTTGGGTTTATCAACCATAAAGAAAACGAGAATTTATTTGAAAAAGGTTTGAAATTAACAAACCAAAAGAAAAGGAATAACTTAAGCTAAAATA